TTTTTTATTAAAAAGTCCTACACTTACGTCACGCTTTAGGCTATATATTTTCACGCCATTAAACTTAGGGGTAAAGATTTTGGATAAAACCCCTAATGTGGGAAAGATACCATAAGTTGCTGCTAACATCAAGGAAGCAAAATTACCAAAGTTTGTCATGACAATTGTCAAGACAAATGTAAACAGTAAAATAAAATTTTCACAATTTCATGCGGACGAAGCTGCACGGGAATAGCTAGTACTATCTGAAAATACACGTATACACATTTATCGCAATACAAAACTTACAAAAACGAAAGAAACATATCAGCAGACGAATGAACTTATAAATTGTAATATATGTATTGGTCGTGATAAGATAACGCAAAAAAAAAACAATTTGAATTAACGATCAGCGTCGTGCAGTCTTTGTGTGTAGATAATTAACTTTCTTTTCAAGAATTCAGAAAGTGTCAGCCGTGGGGTTTCATTGCCGAAATATTCACATTATGATATCTTTGCTTTTTAGGGAAAATGAGAGGAATACAAATGTTGTTTAATTTCAATGTATTATCAATAAATCCTACTGTAAAACTGCAAAAGGTATTTCACAATGAACAATTCACCACCTAACATTTTATGGTAATTAGGGATAATGGACATATTATTTTAACCATAATGTCACATACCCGGTTGAATTTAAATCAGTTATTTTCCGAGTCATTAAGATCAGCAGTGACGTCATACAGGTCCCCTAGAGATGCCATCACGGCGCTAATCAAGCAATCCAGCAAAACAAACTTTGTATGCGACGAGCGTTGGATTGCGCATGCCTCGCAATTAGGTACATACCTGACCGGAAGTTGCGACGATAACACGAATCATATCAAATATCGTAGTACTGAATTACAATTTTCATGATTTGAGAAAATTACAAACTGACAGTTATTGCATATAAGGCGATAAGAATTAAAAACTTGTCATAATTTTACAAACGCCTGAGATCAGAAATAAAAAGATAGAAACATTAAAAAACAGAACCTAAATTAAATGTAGAAATATGGATACACGTGTTAATCAATGAATATATTAAACAAGTCATTATAAATCCGCCAGTGTAGAGTTTTCATTAACATAGTTATCAGATTTAGATGTATTTAGAACATCAGCGTCATAAACAATTAAGTCAATGACAACGATAAGACAAACCGTACAAGACAGAGGTTATTTCAAAATTACATTCGTTAAAAATAATTGTGTATATGTTTTGTGTACAAAAATAACGACTGTTGAATGAATGATTGAATGACCACATGGTCATATACATATACATATACGTCATTCAACTCAACGATCTACGGTGCTCTACGAAAAAGTACAGACTGAAGACTGTAGACCGAAGGAAATTGCCGTCCATAATAAGAACATATGTATGTGCTAGAAATTCTGTGTCACCAATGCCTTTGCCTATGTTCTTCCCTTTTATGGCTCGTTATTGCTTTTTAGCTCATCGTAGACGGAGTTTTTTTAATAGTAGGATGTTACAAAAGCTGTTAAAAATAAACGGAAAATTCCACCTACGTGCTAAGCATGCCACATATAAGATATCAAAGATATACTAACCTTGATGAAAACAATCTCATAAATTAATTTTTCTTTTAGTAGTGTTCTTAGAATAGTAAGTTAGACTCGAATAAACTTCAATTCAATGAATACTTTCAGTACATTTATTTTTATTATGTCTGTGCCGTGTCTATGAAGATATATCTACAATATTTTAAAACAATTACAGAAAAGACAATGGCACATGCTTAAACTCTTAGACAATCTATTAATGAGAAATGTACATACACTTAGACTAAACTGTAATATCTAGTCACGGCCACACGACCATCTCAGTTGTGTCTATCTTAAACAAAATAAGATTTTTCATTGTTAAAGAATGTAATCTTCGTATACAATTTTATATCACTGTTTCTTGAATTTAAAAATATACATATTTATTTGTCTGCGTTTTAATCCTTACAAATAAATCATATCTCTCGGCCACTAATCAACTTGGCTTAAATTGTTCCAAAAGTAAAGCGTACATTGATTACGCAAGTAAATATACCTGAAGAATATGCAACAAAAAGCGAGCGAGGGCGTAAGTAGATTGTGATAAAGTAACTACGTAAACAATTGGGTGTAGCGATATTCAGCATTTACTATGGCGTCTTGCGCCCATTCATTGCTGAAAACGCGCGCGCGACATTCAATCGCTTCTGAGAAATCCGGCCGCGTTTCCTGGAAGCGGCAAGCGACGCTAC